GAGCTGACTGAAAGCAGACATTCTGGCAGCTAAACAGACTATGAACATCATCTAAAACAAAGAGTAATCATGAGGAAAATTCACTTATAGAACGGGCTAGTATAAAACCAGCGTAAGCTAATGCAAGAACAGAACAAAAAAGAATACGCCTGAGTCAAACTAAAATGAAGCCAGTAGGCATTAGACGGAATTAGACGCATTAGAAACCATGGTTGTATGTCAGGAATTCACTGGCAACAGTATACGAACAACAGCATACGAAGCTTCTACTATTTTTCGCCGGTAAACGGCTCGATGCCAGTTTCCCGGTTGGTTGCATCAGAGTAGGATGAGGTAAATTATCTGTTCTTGGGAACTAGCTAACAAATTGAAATTTTAGGCCTACGCCTTTAAAGTGCAAGAGCAAATTATTCATACAAACCTCAAACACTGTCTGCAGAATATAAGAAAAGAAACAACGATGACGAAGAACAACAAACAGAACAGAGAGAGGCAGAACGAGAAAAGAATGAGGAGGAAAATGGACGAGGAAAATTAAGAAAAGGAAGAAGAACGAGAAGAGGAAGAAACAGAAGAGAATGAACAAAATCTAGAGGGGTAAAACACGGCAAAAAAGTAGAACGTGAATAAGAGGAAGAGAGGAAATTAAATAGAAAAAACAAGAGAAGGGAGAATAAGAGGAAGAAAATGGAGGGAAAGAAAATTAAGAACAGTGGTAAGAGAAAATAAATAGAAAAAAACATGAAGCAGAGGAACAGAAAGAGAAAAAACCGAATGGGAAAAGGAGGGAAAAGATGAAAATAATGAAGAGGAAACATAAGAAAAAGAAGACTCGGAAGAAGTGGTAAAACGAGAATAAGACATAAAGAAACAAACGGAAATTGAAGAAAGAAGAATGGAATGAAGTGGAATAGGAAAACTAGATGAAAGAGGAAGAGAAAGAAGAAACGAAGTTGTGAAAAACGGAAATAAAGCATTTTAATAGCCTTCGCTATGTTGAAAAGTCCTTTGTGTAGGACTTAACGCAGAATTCATACGTTCATTTCTCAACGAAATCGCCGGCAATTAGTTTTAAAGAATGCAGATACCAGCTTTAGGAGAGTTTTAATGACGCTGAGTTTTAGTGAAAATGAAAGAATAAGTCAGTCACAACTGGCGGGTGCGATTCTTTTTTCTTTCCTCTAAGCCATACTAATCTGCGTGCCTCTTACGATACCACTGATGAGCCGATCGTGACACGTGTACTGCAAATCGGATGGGCGGCAAGTGTAATTCAACGCAAAACTTAAGCCATTAGAATGGTGCTAGGCAACGACTTCGAGTGCATGAACAAATTTCAAAGTATATGCTAATGTAGAGGCGTTCAATGGTGGTAATCCGTCTGTAATGAAATGGAGTGAAACTAAATTGCATTTTAGTCTAAACTGGCAATATGTTCTTTTTATTTGATTGCTGAATGAGCTTCAGCATACTTCAAAGCCACGTATTGAACCTAACCATGCAGGCAGTAATGCTGAAGCTTAGATATATAATGAATCATTCTTAATATATCCAGTAAAACAGCAGTATTACCGGCTTGGACTGAACCGAAAATCAGTTTCAGTCCATACGACAATGAACGGACTAATATTCTGGATGGCAACGTATACATGGAAATAATGGAAAAACATGACCGTCGTAGCGACATACCTTAAGCACCAGTGCCAAACTGTGCCTTTGGCGGAGATTCTCCAACACGATCAGCTCACATTCAGAAAAGTTCATTTGCAGTTGAAAATCCATCTCCTGCTGCAAACACGACTGTTACTATACGTACATCAGAAACAAGCTCTATGAGTGTAACGCGTACCGTGTGAACCGGTGTCATGTCTTTTCTGAAGACGATGCTTTTGTGAGAACTGGTCGTCGACTCTTGAACTATAAATAAAATCAGAGATCAAGAGAAGACGATTTAGAAGCAGACGTTAAAAGTTTCACTTACCGGATTCGCCAAACGGGGCCGCGGTTATGAAGTGATATGCATGAATCAGCCACGCGTAATCGACGGTTATCAATGCCCCCGCAAACACAACCGACATTTTCGTCTTTCCATCTTTTTCACGGTACTGCAGCTCAGCCATGAACGCGTCGCGCTCGATCGTCGAAAGACGGTTCAGAATCAGTGGAAGACATTCGTCGTTTGTACCTGAAATTCACGGAGCCGGCAAAATACAGACTATTGGCAACGGTAGCTAACACCTACCATCGACATCGAGGCTGGATGTCTCGATCGTTACATTAGTGCAGATCAGCCCGGTACGAGTAGACGAATCCGACAGCGACTCATACTTCACAACAGCCTGATAGAAATGCACTCTACCGCCTTGTATTACGGCTGCACTCGAGTCCGACGCGATGCACACATGAACGTCTTTCAGGTTGAACCTGAACATCGAATTAATGTATATGCCACCGATCGACGACAAAGGGGTCTGGAATGATGAGAAATCTAATTTGTACCAAAACCTATCATTAAAAAACTTACTGTCTGCAGATGACTAACGTCAGACCGTAACAGCTTCGGTTTTTCGCCGAGGTTTAGCCGAAGAATAGTACGAATAAGGCGATAGGTGTCCAGTGTCAGATGCAGTGTCACGCCATTGAGATTTGCTACCACCGACATTTCTGGAACTAAAAAAGAACAGAAAATTAACAGGCAATCACGAACAATATTTCAAGAAGTTATACAGCTTAAGTGCTTAACGAACAATAAACCGCTGTAATAAAGAAAATGACTCAACAGATATTCGTATGCTAAAACGCCGTAAATCTTCGGTCCACTGGAAAAGTGTGCTATAAAAATATGTACAAGGAGGCAATGCAACAGGCTCTGAAATCAGGTCTTCAAAGTGCACATGTTTAACAAAGTTCAGCGTAAGAATCTCTTTTTTGGCACAGTTATATGTAAATTTCGTTACTCATTATTAATAGACAGCAGTAGAGTTCTGTTTGAGGTTGACCAGAAGAACTTTACAATAGGCATGATGCAATGA